CTCCTACTAATTGGCCCCTCACATGTGATGTCACTCCCCCCTCTTGCTGTACAGCAGGCCCAACATGACGGGCTCAATTTAGGCTCCCTCGCACAGTGGCCCTTAAGGGCCCCACATTTACAGCCCTGCCTCCTGTCTTGCACAGTCACCCTCAGGGGCCCCTCATACATAACGTCAAACCCCCCTGCGCAGCACAGTGAGTCTAGCATGACAGGCTCATTCTGGGCCCTCTCACAGCTAATTACACCCCTCCTCCCTGCTCAGGGGGCCAGGGTATGACGGTGCACCGTACGATGCAGACTTACTCAGCACGAGTACCGGGCGGCCCATCATGGTGGCAGGTAGCAAGGATTACAGTCAGCCCGGAGAATCTTCTGGAGAAAGAAAGAGCCTTAGTCGCCGAGCACACACTAACAGCTCGATGCCGCCGTCTCAGCCAATCACACCCACCGCCGGCGCGCCTCCGCCAATCCCCTGCCGGAAGGCGTGGACAGCAGGGCTTGGCTGCGCAAGCTTGGTTGACTTCGCACCATCCGTTGGAAGCCGCATGGTAACCAATTGCCTAGCGCGCATGCGCACCCATGGCATAGCGCACCGCACGCTGGGAGCTGTAGTCCCATCTTTAGAAACCCAGTAATCATTGCCTAGCAACAGGCCTTGTTCTCCCATAGAGTTCTATAGGTCGCCCGGCTGCATGCTGGGAGTTGTAGTTTTTCCTCGTTTCCTGTCTTTGGCTGCTGCTGACACCTCATAATGACTAAATTAGGACAGAGATGGCGCAGAGGGGAAAGTGATGAATGGAGGGAGGCTAGAAAATGAAATATACAATAAAACTTTATAGATTTCAGTGTAGTCCTCTCCTTCAAATGATTACTGAATGCACATAATGGATAATAACACCAAAGGGGCAATAGAACACTGACACCTAATGGACAAAACATTGTGATAAATAGAAATCAGGCAGCTTCCATATTTACATGGCTTCCTATTAATTACAACCAATTGCAACAAGCAAATACCTGTCAGGTGACATTCCTGGTTGCCATGGTTTCTCAATAATATGGTCAATAGGTGTCAGCGTCCTGACGCCCCTCAAGGGTTGGGTGTGAGCAGACGTACACTTTTGCCCACCGCGGCCTTCATTTCTTCTCAGACCATGCCAGCATACCCTAAAATAATGGGGGTCACCCCTTTTTTTTAGCACCTCGAAACAGGTCCAATCCAATCTCCTTAGAGACCCACCCCTGCCCTCTCCATCGCAGCAGCTGATTGGCTAGAGGAAGCGACAATGAAAGGGGACGCAGCAATTTACAGACCCATGGGTAGTGCCGTTCAGAGACATGACAGCCAAGAAAAGATGGAGACCTCCAGGTCAGAGCAAAGCAACAGGTCCACTTTAATGTCGGTCTTCGCAGCTGCACATGTTCACCTACCCTTTGCTCCCCTGTTGTTCTGTTCAGCCCCTGGAGCGAGGTACGTGCATCAGAGAGCACCCATGGCGTAGCTTTCTCGCCATCCAATAGGTTGGTGAATCTCGCTAACTTCAGTGCATTGAAGGGCAACGAATGGGCGGAATGAGGGTAAGGTGGGTATATGCAACTGCATGGGGAGGGGCAACATTGGCACCAAAATGTTGGTTACATTGCGACCATGTTGTCTACCAGGCCTCCATGGAACCTCTGAATGTCGCAGTTAAGGGGGTAGGGTTGACACCTGTCTGGGATTCACCCGGACAGTTTGGTTTTTGAGTCTTGTGTCCGGATTTCCCGCCAGCTGACACTGAGACACTGCACAGCCCACACAGCACTCCTGAAAGCCTGCATAGCCCACCTGTGACCCCACACAGCCACCCGAGAGCTCGCATAGCCCACCTGAGAGCCTACACAGCCCTCATGAGAGCCCGCATAGCCCTCTTGAGAGCCCCCATAGCCATCTGAGAGTGCACATAGCCCACCTGAGATTGCATATAGCCCACCTGAGAGCCTGCACATCCTCCTGAGAGCCCGCACAGCCCATCTTAGATCCCGCACAGCCCACCTGAGAGCCTGCAGAGTCCACCTGAAAGCCCACACAGCCCTGTTGAGAGCCCGCACAGGCCACCTGAGACCCTGGAGACATCGGGGTGCCACCCCGGAAAAACACAGAGTATGTAGCGCCATATTATTTTGTATTGCTGTATAATGTGTTGCTGGGATTTGTAGTCCTCTATAGATGCTTATTACTCCCTCACCTGGCTGTCTCTTCTTGCTCTTTCTCCCGAATGCCGCTCTCTCCTCTAAATCCCCCTTCCCCCCCAAAAAAAAAATTGCTGAGTGTTCAGGTTTACTTGAAGAAAAGGTGGCAACCCTAGAAGAGGGGCGCTGACAGTTTCTCAGCCGGCTTCAAGTGAAATCTGATTATAATGGCATTGGCAATCAGCAGGACCATTCGGGATATTATAAGGCCACACAAACCAATCCCTGACTGGTCTCTTCATAAATCAGCCGCAGGGGAAGAGCACTGGTTTTACCATCAGCTTTTTTTTTTAATCTGTGTCCCATTGGGGGAGATTTCCCTTTACTTCCTATCGGATGACCACAACAGGAAGTAAGAGAAAAACCCTCCAAAGTGAAGGAAATCCCTGGTGGTCACTAGAACTAGTGTCCCCATTGGAAGATTTCCCCTCTACTCCTGTTCTGGTGACAAATCAAAATGTGGCATTTTCTTTCACTTTGTCACTAGGACAGACAGAGAGGGTGAATCTCCCTAATGGGGACACGGGCAGCAATAAAAGCCAGGCAGGGGGGGGGGGTCTAATCCCTCTCCACTCTGTCCGAATATCAAAATGGTTTGGGCTTCAGTTGCACTTTTAAGGACCATCTATCTTACACAGTTAAAGGGCAACTGAATCCAAAGCATATTTGTAGTTTTGGATGGAGTTGGGGGGGGGGGGGTGGGGGGCATTATACCCCCGGTCACGGATTAATTGCTGTCTGTGTCCACGTTAGGGAGATTCACCCTCTCTACTTGTCCTGGTGACAAAATGAAAGAAAATCCAACATTTTGGGTGGTCACCAGAACAGCAACAGATGAGAAATCTCCTGATGGGGACATTAGTTGTGGTGACCACCGTGGATTTCCCTCTCTTCAGAGGGATTTTCTCTCACTTCCGGTTTTGGCTCTTGGACAGGAAGTGAAATGAAATCTCCCCAATGGAACGCAGATGGCAAAAGATAAGCTGATAGGGGTTCTAACCCTCAGTTACTCCATCCAGACAGCATCCTATTGTTAAATAGGTTTAGGCACAGCACCTATATTTGCCAATTCAGATATCCTCCACCCAGCCTCGAGTATTATCTGCCAAATGTGTGAACGGGAAGGTTCTAGTACAGCGCTAGGCAACCTTGGCACTGGGAACTACAAGTCCCATGAGGCACTGCAAGACTCTGCCAGCCATAGGCATGACTCCCAGAGCCAGACGCATGGTGGGATTTGTAGTTTCACCATAGCTGGAGTGCCAACGTTTCCTACCCCTGTTCTGCTGCAACAAACCTCTTTCCACACAGGTTCGTATCACTGTCTGTGTCCCCACTGGGGAGATTGTTCTTTTCTGTTTGTCCTCGTGTCACTAAAACAGAAAGTTGTGGAAAAGCAAAATTTTACAGTTGTCCGCAGAACAGGGAGAGAGGGGAAATCTGACGGGGACCCTAACAGGGGATTTCCCTTCACTTTGGTGATATTTTCCCTTCACTTCCTGTTGTGCTTCTGGGAAAGGAAATTTCTCCGGTGGAGACACTGACAAAAAAAAAAAAAAAAAAGTAGGAAAGGATGGTAAGGTATTCTTATTGTGGTAAACATTTGGCATTAAGAGGAAATAATAGACCACAAAGAAAGTGATATTGATGAGAAAATAAGGGGTTAATATTAATGCAATAGATAAGGAAATACAAATGAGGTAGTAATAATAATAATATACTGCAAATAATAATATTAAAATGTACTATAATATATATTGTAATGAAAATAATATATATATTTAAAATATTATATCCTATAATACTATTATAACTTCTACTAATGTGCTACTCATAGTGATCCAGCAGGTGGCAGCATAGCAGCGGGTCACGTGTCTCTTCTGGCGCATCGGACGGGACTACACTTCCCATGAATCAGCGCGGCGCTCAGACAGGATATCCGGAGAGGCGGAGGGGTGACGTGTCTTTCCAGTTCGGAGATCTGAGGAGAGTAGAAGTAGAAGGGAGTCATTCTGAGTCGGGACCGGAGAGGGGGTAAGGAGTATTGGTGCCTCTATGTGTGAGCTGTCCTTCCACTAATCATATCCAGGGGCCCCTCTGTATAGTGACAGGGTCACTTTTAGTCAGTCTCTGCCCTCCATTCATTAGCAGGACTCCCCCATTCACATCCT